TGACCCAGGGTGTACATATTTATACCCATAGGGAGATACTAGTCCTTGTCGGACAGGAAAGAAACTAAAGATAAAAGGAAAAGATAAAATCCTTATCGGACACTAAACACACTTTCTAAAGATAAAAGGAAACTAACAAACTATTCATAATTAATAGATAAACTGCCATGCCGCATCCTTCTTGAACTCGGACTCTTCTGGATAAATTCCCTTTAGTTGATCCAACTCCATCGAGAACACGGTTGCTGGTGATTTGACGACTCCCATCGGCTGATTCCATAACTCTGAAGCCGATACTGACTCTAAGCCGATGATGACTTTGGGCTTACCAAATTTCGTCGTTAACAGCGTGCGGTACAACGGAAGGACGATGAGTCCCTCCACTCATACATCTAGCAGTTCTGTCAGGTCCGCAACACCATCGATCCCATGCATCCCTCCTCACGCGGTCATCTACGCATTTAGGGGGGCGTGTGGCATAACCGCGTGCTGAAGAAGGTCGCCTCCAAGGAGCACAAAACATACGCGGAGCTTTTTCAGCTCGCGGATCACGTGGCCCGCAAAGAGGAGGCGTGGGCTTGGAACTCCTCCAGCTCTGGCGCGGCGGCTGCGGCTGCCCCTGAGTCCTCCTCCTGCTCCAAGCGGCGAGAGAAGAGGAAGAAGAAGAGATCGGTCCGATCCGGCGACAAGGACCACGTCCTCACCGCCGAAGGCACCTTGCGGCCCCCGCACAAAGAAAAGGCCGCGAGCATCAAACAGAAGGACACCGCCGCCCCTTGTGAGAGCCGCTCACTAGATAAGTGGTGCATCATCCACAATACCTCCACCCACAGCCTTGCTGACTGTCGCACGATCAAGTCCTTGGCCAAGCGCGTCAAGAAGTCGCATCAGGAGAAGCGGCAGGGTCACCGGGAGGGTAAAGCCCCGGAGACCTCGGCCGACAAGCGGCGAGAGGAGGCCAAGAAGAAGGCCCCCGTCGACAATGGTGATGAGGACCTGGAGTTCTAGGAGCTTGACACCACTATCGCCACCGTCGACTGTGGAGCATGCGCCCACGCATCCGACCGTAGCTTTAAGGCCATGAAGCGCGAGCTTCTGGCCGCTGTCCCTACCCATGAGGCGACACGGCGAGCACGCTGGTCGGAGGTGAAGCTCACCTTCGACCAAACCGACCACCCGCCAGTGGTTTCCCGGGGAGGGCAGTTGGCGCTGGTGGTATCGCAAACCATCTGCAACGTTAAGATGAAGCGCGTCCTAATCAACGGCGGGGTCGCACTAAACATCATCTCCCCCGCGGCCTTCGACGCCATCAAGGCCCCAGGGATGAAGCTTAAGACGTCGCTACCCATCATAGGAGTGACCCCGGGACACACGTGGCCGTCCGGTCATATTGTGCTCCTGGTCACCTTTGGTGATCCTACCAACTTCCGCACCGAACGGCTCGACTTTGATGTGGCGGATCTCAATCTGCCCTACAACGCGGTCCTTGGCAGGCCCGCATTGGTGAAGTTCATGGCGGTCACCCATTACGCCTACCTCCAGATGAAGATGCTGAGCCCCGGCGGCCCCATCACCATTAGTGGCGATGTCAAGATCGCCCTGACTTGCACGAAGCAACGTGCAATCAACCTCGCAGCCGGAGAACGGCGGCGGGGGGCCTGAGACTTCCACCTCTCGTCTCTTGAAGAAGCGGATGACTTCTGGTGACGAGGTGTCCGTCAAGAAGATTATCCTTGGCAATGATCCGTCCAAGACCGAAGATTGGTGGTAACTTGGACGACAAATAGGAAGACGCGCTCGTCTCCTTCCTGCGGGCAAACGCCGACGTCTTTGCCTGAAAGCCGTTGGACATGCCTGGGGTCCACAGGGAGGTGATTGTTGACGAAAAAATCGAACACACCGGCCTGGGAGATCTGCTTAACTCCAGTGCAGGTCCAAAGATTGGTGAGATGCGAGCGTGCCAGTCAGTTTGATCCTGCAACTGACAAGATATACAAATAGTAGATCAAAACAGCCGATCGGCTGACAAGCCGATGGAGTAGTTCCAGCCGATAGCGATAATAGCCGATGCCGATACCAGCCGATAGCGATAGGGTTTAAGCAATCGGTTATATGTCCAATGTAAATAATAATATAAATGCAATCGGCTGATGATGATGTAATAAAATAACAATATAATCCAGTATAAACCAATCGGCTAGCAATGATATGATAAATAAGCATGGATCCGAAGGTTAAAGCACACATCGGCTGGAGGTCCGATGTCATGAAATCCACAAGATTAGATTAAACAGTGAAACCTTTGTTGTCATCGGCTAAATCCAACTTATATGTATGTGCAATCCTTATGAACCGATGCAACGTCCAGATAACTCATCGGCTGAAACCCCGATGAAACCCTTATTGACAATCAAGAAGCAGGCTAGAGATTATGGTTCTAAGCATGACTTAGTAGATCAAACTTAACTGATGCAGCACTAAGTATGAAAAGAAACATAATATCTAGACAATCAAGCCATTGACTGAGTTTTTAGGGTGGTAGATGTCTAAGCTAATCTAATCTAACAACACGATTTAGCCGATACCGGCAGAAACCCTAAAGCGAGAAGCCGATAGAGGTAAATTGATATGCTAAGACTAGATTAACAGAGACATATGATAAATAGGTAGGCAAATATATCATCCAAACCAGAGCAATCCAAGAGGTCGAATGTGCTGATGCAGCCTTGAACGACGCCGATGTAGATGAGACAATTGCCTGGGCCGACGGAACATTGGACTTACCCCTTAGCTGATGATCGAACACCGATGCAGCCCCGCGTCAAGCGCCATGTCCCGCCGGACAATAAAATAAAGTAGAAAAGGTAAAAGATGGCGATGCGCCGAATTGTATTGATCGTAGAGATAGATTACATAGACCCCGGGTGTACATATTTATACCCATGGGTTGATACAAGTCCTTGTCGGACAAGAAAGAAACTTTCCTAAAGATAAAAGTAAAAGATAAAGTCCTTATAGGACACTAAACACACTTTCCTATAGATAAAAGGAAACTAACAAACTATTCCTAATTAATAGATAACTTGTCATGCCGCATTCTCTTTGAACTCGGTCTCTTCTGGATAAGCTTCCTTTAGTAGATCAATTTCCTTAACCGAATATAGCAAGAATCCGACAACTGACGACTTGACAACTCTCATCGGCTAATCTCAGGACTTCGAAGCCGATGACTACTCCGGGCTTACCAAATTTCACTGTTAACAGTGATCGAGCACCATCTAGCCGTGCGGCCGGACGCGAGACCCGTCCGACAGAAGGTGCGGCGGTAGGCCCCGGAGCGACAAGCTTTTATCCGCGAGGAGGTGGCGCATCTCCTAGAGGCCGAGTTCATCCGAGAGGTCATCCATTTGGAGTGGTTGGCAAACCTGGTGTTCATCCCCAAGGCGAACGGCAAGCTCTGGATGTGCATCGACTACACCGACCTTAACAAGGCATGCCCTAAGGATCCCTTCCCTTTGCCACGCATAGATCAGATAGTTGACTCCACCGTGGGGTGCGACTTTTTGTGTTTCCTAGATGCTTATTCAGGTTACCATTAAATCTGCATGGCTAGGAAGGATGAGGAAAAAACTGCTTTCATTACTCCTGTAGGCACATTTTGTTATACAACTATGCCTTTTGGTTTAAAGAATGTGTTGGTATTTCTTAACGACATTACTAGAAATATAATTCCCAGCAATGATTTACAAAGTCTGTCAGGGTTATGGATACCACATACCTAATAGTAGTTGACTAAATCTCGGCAGGACCCACCACATACCATGTCTTATACGGAAATAACCTTCGGATATGGATAGAGTTCCGGATAAGGAAAGACAACCAGAGTTACACACCAGGGATGGTGTTCCTGGTGCATTCGCACACCCAAAATCCACTTCCATTAAATGGTGAATGAGGGGGATCCTTCCCGTGTCGGCCTGCGTCAGCCGACATGATTTGATGGGCCCCGCACAACAGCCGATACTAAGAGGACTTCCACGTTGTGGTGCAAGACACATATTTAATATAGGGAATATTTACTCCCTTCACTGGGCGGCACACCCCCGCGCATGTGAGAGAACCCCTTGGAGTATAAAAGGAGGTTCATGTCCAGTGAAGAGGGGGGGTCGAAGAACAAAGAGTTGGATCGCTTAGCCCTAGTTTGTACACCAGAGGTTCAGAGATTTGGAAAGCTCAGAAAAATCATCATACACAGGAGTAGGGTATTACACTTTTTAGCGGCCTGAACCGGTATAATTCCCTTTGTCTCATCCTTTTTGAGGGGCCCGATCCCCTTGACAGCTTCCAATCTTCCCAGCTCCTTAGCTTTCACTCGCTGCCCTCGGCCGAACCAACAAAGGAGGGGCCTCACGGTCCCCCGCTCGAGGAGTTCGTCCTCCGACAAGCCCAAACCCAGCTCCACATCTCTAGTTTATTTTATGATAGTGCTCTAGTCAGCTCTGTACCCATTTTAAGTGGAGCTGAAATTATTTGGCTGAGCTCTGGAGCTGTGTCAAACGGACCTATCATCTTCGTACGTGGAGAAGAATCTCCATCGTGACGTACCTAACACCACCTCACTGTACCGTGAATAGCCTAAGGCTGGGTTCGGAGGAGGGGTTGGACCCGGCACGCAAAACGATGTTCGCATTAACGTGTGATTAATTAAGTATTAGTTAATTTTTTTTCAAAAATCGATCAATATGATTTTTTTCAAGCAACTTTCGTATAGAAACTTTTTGCAAAAAAAAAAACACATCGTTTAGTAGTTTGAAAAGCGTGCGCATGGAAAACGAATGTGGGGGAGTTGGGAACTCCCGGCAAAGAACGCAGCCTACATGAGGTTACAAGTCTCCATTTTTCAAAAACATGTGCTATAGGACACACCCTCGTTGGTGTTGGCGCACGTGATCTTGGTGTGCACGCTTGAGTGCATCTGTGCATCCAAATTGTACTCGGGATAAAAAAAAAGATTTGTCTATTCGATGAACTAGGAGTATTTGATTTTCTAGCACACATTATTGGAGAAATATATGCTGAAGAAAAGGCACAGATTCTTACTATACATCAAGCTGCAGACTGAACCATCATCAGCTATCTGAAACCAATCCAGCATCCCTTGTGCTCACAACCAGAGGAGGGATGCTCTGCTCACTCCAGAACAGCTGATCAGGATCCACCTCACCCTTCACCATTGCCAGCCTCCTGAAGTTTCCCCTGAAGTACTTCTCCCCCCACACCCTGGCCTCCTCATAGCTTGTGTTTCCCTCCACATTCTGCCCCAAATCCAGGTCCCTGTAGTTGATGTATGCAGCCCTGGGGTTCTTGCTCACATAGGGTGTCATCAGCTCATGCAACCCCCTCACCCAGCTCAGATGATCATCCTCATAGGACACATTCTTGTCACCTCCCCACTTGACAAAGTATTGCAGGTTGTAGAGGTATCCGCTCCGGTGAGCGTACGGCGTGCCGGATTCCGGTATCCGGCTCATCTCGCCGCCTTGTGGGTCAATGTCGATGGAGCCGTCTTCGTCTTCGACGATCTTGGTGAGCAATTCGATCAGGCCGGGTGTCGGAATTGGTGAGGTTAGGTAGTCGAGCTTGATCTTGTAGTAGTCCTTGGGTTGCAGTGTCCTGTCAAGAAGCACCTCTGCTGGTTGGCCATTGGTGTAGCCGTAGGAGTACAGCATGGATTGCAGCCAGTTCATCTCCCTGCAATCGGTTGGTTTGATGCCGAGTTCGGGCAAATGGTGGTCGATTTGGGTGATCATGTCGCTGCAATTTCCAAGAAACAATGATTTGAACGTCACCAATGGATGACGAGTTGAGTCGTCGCCGTCGTTGATGGTCTTGGCCTCCATGGACATTTTGACGAACAGGTTGTCGGGGAGAGCGTGCGCCACGGCTTGCCATTTGGTGAGGAGGCGGAGGAGAGATTGCTCGTCGTGGCCACCTCGCCGGAGTAGGAGGCGGTGGACGGTGAAGGCGGAGACGACGGCCGGGACGGGGACGAGGTTGACGGTCCAGGAGACGACGATGCCGACGCTGCCGCCGCCGCCGCCCCTGATCGCCCAGAAGAGGCCCTCCCCCATGGCCGCCCTGTCCAGGAGCCTCCCCTCGGCGTCCACCACCTCCGCGTCCACCACGTTGTCGGCGGCGAGGCCGTACTTGCGCATCATCGGGCCGAACCCGCCGCCGCTGAGGTGCCCGCCGACGCAGACCGTCGGGCAGATTCCGGCGGGGAACCCGAGCCGCCCGCCGCTCCCCTCCGCCACCGCGTAGTAGAGCTCCCCGAGCGTGGCCCCCGCCTCGGCGCGCGCCACGCCCCTCGCCGCGTCCACCCGCACCGCCCGGAGCGCCGCGACGTCGACGACGGCGAACCTCGGGGACCGGCCGAGCGAGCGGTACGAGAGGCCCTCGTAGTCGTGCCCGCCGCTGCGCGCGCGGACGGTGAGGCCGTGGGCGCGGCAGCAGACGACGCAGGCGCGCACCTCGTCGGCGGTCACGGGCGTGAGCACCAGCGCCGGGCGGGGCGTCCGCGGCGAGGCGAAGCGGAGGTTCTGGATGGTGGAGTCGAGCAGCGACGGGTAGGAGGCGTCGCCCGGCGCGTGCACGAGCCGCGACGGGTCGGCGGCGGTCGCCGGCGACCGCCGCGCGACGCACCGGAGGAAGCTCTCGCGCAGATCGCCAACGCCGCAGCCGTCTCGCCACCGCGCGGAACACGGCGAGGCGAGCAGCGAGAAGTGGAGGAGGAGGAGGAGGAGGAGAGGGAGGCGCGGGCGGCTTGGCTCCATCGTCGTCTTGCTCGAGGTCGCGGCCGGAGCTTTGCTCAGCTCCGCTCCCACTGCGTCGAACGGGTCACCTACCTGCTCGATCTTTGGGTTTGGTGGCTACACGTAATGAGGCATCCATAACCAGAAAGAACCTCAATTATTGTGATTTATTTTTAAGGAACCTCCGATTTTAAGATAAAATATTTCAAAAAGCCTTATACTTTTCAAAAAAAACCTCATATTTTACTATTATACTCCCTTCATTTCTTAACAAATTACGCCGTTGATTTTTAGCATAACGTTTGACTAATTGTCTTACTGAAAAATTATATAAATGTCATTTTTTTTGTTGCAACATATTTTATAATTAAAAAACTTTAAGTATGACTTATAATTTATCATATTTACATTATTTTTTTAATCTAATAAGATGATGGGTTAATTGGATCGATGCCACTGCAACTTTACCAAATTAAAAAAAGCCACTACTATTCATCATATCGGCTGGGTGCCACTGTAATTTTAGAAAATTGGATCCATGCCACTCCCGTCACTTTTTCCATCTCATCTCTCACACCGTCTCATCCTCATCCCCTCCACACCGCGCGACGGCCGGCACGAGCGGAAGACAAGCTGGCGCGGTCACGGCCGGCCCTGGTGGGGTCTCTCCGGCGCGGTCTCCGGTGCCGAGCTCCCTCGCCACCGCCACCGAGCTCCTTCGCCACCGCCGAGCTCCTTCGCCGCCACCCAGGTCGGCCTTGCCGTTGACGACGCTGACAACGAAAGCCACCTCACGGGTCGACTCGGCGACCATCGTGCTGTCGGGGCATGTGGTGAGGAAGCCGAGGCATCCAAGGAGAAGGCGGCAGAGTGGGCCGCGGCTGCGCCACCGTCTCCGGCCAGCAGCGTCAGCGTCCCTGGCCAAGGACGCGCACGACGAGGTCCTTTTCGCAGCGAACGACCGGCGAGGCGACGAGGAGCAGCCGCATCGCTCCCTGCGGTGTCCTCAACCGCCGTCATGGCATGGGGGCTGCTCCGCACGGGATTCCGGCCTTCACTCGCGCCTGCGCCACCACGAGAACCCTAAGCCGCCGCCGCCGCCGCCGCCGCTTGCGCCTGCGTCGGTGTCGTCGCCGAAGCCGGAGTCAGTGGTGGTGTCCTCTGGCTCAGTCCTCGGACGGGGAAAGACGGCGTCAACGGGAGTGGATGGAAAACGCGACGGAGTGGTATGGATCCAATTTCCCAAAATTGCAGTGGCGCCCAGCCGATACGATGAATAGTAGTAGTATTTTTTTAATTTGGCAAAGTTGCGGTGGCATGGATCGAATTAGCCCGATGATGAATGGTCAAACATTATTCTAAAGTTAACCGTGTCATCTATTAAAAAATAGAGGTACTATATGATTATTTTTTACATAAATTCATACTAGTTGACTCAAAATATGCATCCCTCTCGTGTATTTTATCTTCTTTTCCTCAATTCTGCACTGTGGTATTAAAAAACTTAACGTAATTCATGACATGAGAATAAGCTAAATATACACATAAATTATCAAACCATCGATGATCAACGCTAGTTGCAAAGCAACTGACATTTATATTATATACTCCCTCCGTTTCACAATGTAAGACTTTCTAGCATTGCTCATATTCATTAATATCTATATGTATATGGGCAATGCTAGAAAGTCTTACATTATGAAACGGAGGAAGACAAAATATCTCATACAATTGTTTACAGTTTTAAAAGAAAAATATTAGCCAAAGTGGATGATTTAGGCTTGGACCTAAAGGTTATAAGAAATATTTTGCCCTAAAACGTAAGATTGCATGAAGCAAATTATAAAACTTGGGATTTTGAGTTAAGAATGCCCCCAAAACCAGAACATGATGTGGTATTTTTTTTAAAAAAAAATACTCCTAATTATTCAGCTAGTAGGTGATGGTAATTGATGAAAGATAACTAGCCAAATTTTCCTGTTAAGCCCACAGCTAAATTTCAAGGCTTTTTTTAAAAAAAACATTATAGAGTTTTTTTTTTTAGTCTCAGGGCAGACCCAACCAAACGTTTTCAGTCCCAGTGGAAAGAAAGTGGAGCTGGTTGTGATGATCAAAAAATGAATAAAGAGGTGAAGTGGGGTTTGGGCCAATCCATAACTTGAAATTAGATTTATGAGTTTGAGAGCCCTACTAAATAGGTCCTTGGTCTCTCAAAGTTTAAATTTTGTGAACATAATTAGATTTAATTTTAGGGTTTTTTTTAAGTCTGTTTTTTTATCGTTGGCTTTTAAACCGTAATAACACAAATATTTATGTTTTATTTGTGAATTATTACTTTTTTTGCTTTGTTCATTTTTCTTAAATGATCAGAGCATATGTTTTAAAACTAGTGAGGATCACCTTAAAATCATTTTTCATCGCTTGGACCACGAGCATTTATTTTATAAACCGCATGGGAAGAAGAGGAAAAGGGGCCCGATTCATTCTTGAGACACAGCTCGATGTCTCTGTCGGATGCATCAAGCATTTCGACTGACCAACTGGAAGCAGGAGACAAAAGCGGTATATCAGAAAACGCCAATCTCTTGCAGCCGGTGACCGGCCAGAAAACAACTCCGTCTCGCCACCGCGCAGAACACAAGCTTTTGAGCTGTGCTACTCCGCTTGAAATTAAAACATAAAATTAACAGAGAGCGATGTAAAACCATTGGATTATCATAAAAAAAAAGAAAAAAAGAGGCAGCTCGACGTCTCTGTCGGACGGCATCAAGCTTTCAACGATAACTCAGGTCACGAATGATTTCGACAGGCCAGCTAGAGCAGTAGGGAAAAAGAATGGTAGTATTTGAAAAAAAAAACGCCAATCTCTTGAAAATATCTAATCTAGAAGGGACTACCTTCCTGAACTTGCAATTGTAAGTAGGTGATCAGATTCAGAGGTAGCTACATGTTTCCATGCAAAAGCACAAGTGTGACATTGGACAAGATGATGTAAGATCAGATCATGCTCTTAGCTTTCAGGTAATTGACAAAAACATCTGGCCGGAAAATTCATCAAGTAACATAAAACTTGGAAGGTGAACTTCTGCCCAACAAGGGAAAAGCTTTTCTAACAGCTGAGCCTACAGGTGAAAATGTTTTAAGAGGTATTCGCCTGGGCCTTGTTGAGGATGACTCCTTCATACTTGACCTGGAACCACTTCATGGCATCCTCCTTGGTCACCCGGTGCTGGATCCCAACGCGAGACTTGCACCTCCGACGACGGGCAACACGGTAGCCAGCACGCTCAAGCACAACATAGAAGTCCATTCCATAGATACCTGTTGAGGGGTCGTACCTGCAGCACACAAGAGACGGTTTAGCCGTATTTTTTCGAAGGATAGTAAAACCATGTGATGTGTGCAGAAAATTATAAATTAAAAACAAAAACACACTTATTTCAATGTGCTTTTGGCGAATACCAAACATCGTATTGGTGCATTCTCTCCATCATCAGCTATGCACAGCTCAAGAGCAATGCAAACTACACATACGAAACTATTATGGTGCATATGTGGACAAACTTCGTGGACGGTCAAGATCAAAGATGGTGAGCGTGTAGATCATTTCTAAATTGGATTGTGAAGAAGTTCCAAAGGGTTGCTCAGATCATTTGTTAGTATGAAACTTGCTAATTTGGTAGGCATTTCTATGATTCAAATAACCAAGCATTTCCAGTCACTAAACAGTTGTTAATACGTCCATGATGGATAGAGGTAATTGGGTCCGTAAAAAGACAGTACTAACAAGTATCCAAAGGTGAAACAAGGGATAAATTGACAATTCAATTAGATAGTTTTTTTCTGCAAGTATAAAAAACAATCATCATGAGTAAACATGCTCTGATGCTGAATGCCAAGTGAACTGCTCAATTAGTAAACAAAATAGACAAATGACAAAATTGCACTGATGGTGAGAAGAGCTTCCCAGAGGTTCTAGAGTTCTAACTCACAGTACATTTACTAATAGGGTGATGTTTCTACCATAGAAATACGAAGTTTGTACTGTTTCGTGGTTCCAGACCTTCTAGATTTTTGACAATGTGGCTCTTTTACAAAACTTATTTTATAAATAGACCCCCAACTGTGAAACAAAGTGTGGTTTTGATTCATTGTGATGGGAAAATGGAGAGTGTCAAAAGTGAAGAAAATGTGTGTGTTGACTAACATAGGTCAGGATGTGATATTTGTGCCCGAAAAACGGTAGTTTTGTTACGTGTGTGCATGTGATCGAATTCAATCTTGGTCAATGGCAAGGACCAGAACTATGCTCAGGGAGGAGCAGTCCGGTGAGGTCAAGAGGCCATGTGATAAGGTGGGATTGACGTCAGGATCCTTAGAGGTCAACCGGGGTCAACGACGGATCGAGACTAAACTCAGGGAGGAGTTGAGGTCCAGAACGATCAGGGATGCCGGTTGACAAGCTTGAATACAATGCGGTGCACGATGAACGGACACAATGTTGGGAGGACTTCGCAACGGGCTTCACAAGGTCAAGTGTGCAGGTGTCGGGATTCGCGAAGAGTAATGTATGATGCAAATGCAAGAATGCTCCCCCTATGTGCCTAACTCCCCTTTTCACCAAGATCTAAAGCAAAATTTTAAATTCTCAATGAGTGCATTTTGCTGAATATTTCTCCCCCTTTGGCAATGATGACATGCAAAAATGCAAAAAATGAGACATTGCAAACTTTAATTTGAGTGAACTTTGGAGGTTACCAGCTAGACATATACAAAAGAAGTATGAAACATGACAAGAGCAACAAGGTTATATCACTAGCAAGCTTTCATGCTATTTCTAGAAGAAGCTTAAGAGTAAGCAATCCAACGCATAAATATGCAAGATTAACATTATCAAAAACAAAAATGAACCCATGATACCATGCTAATGCCCAGTTCAAGAGAGTATCAAGATGGTAATAAAACATAGAACATGGGCTTTTAGCTCTATCACATTTGCATTTTATTCCTTTTCGGATTTTTGAAGAAAACTATAGCACAATCGCGATGGTACGCCTAATCTTATCAGTCAGCGAGTGATGAGGGCGCCAAACAGTGTCATCAAATCTCAAACAAGTTTTCCAGTTAGAGCTCCTGTTACAGGTAGTCTCAGTGCTATCTTCAGCACTACTTATGCGTAAACACACTCAGTAGCCTGGGACAAAAGCAGTGGTAAAACACATAAAGCATAGAAAGAACATAATTGATGCACCCATGAACAATCAAGCGTGAGCATTCAAAAGGATGTGCCGAAAGCTATTGCTAAGATGATAAAAACATGGCATATCTATGAGAAGGATATTGCATCAAAAGCAAACTTCTAGAGCAAGTTGTGCACATTAATTAAGTTCAAGTGTAGATTCAATTTAAGCAAGTATCAATGCGCATGAAGAGCATAGCATGAACATACAAGCTACTTAAGCACGTGTAACCTAGACAAAAGATCTAGCTTGCATAAAAGTAAGAGATGAGTATCAAAAAGATGTCCAGTAAATTGTTAACAAAGCTCTTTAATGAAAAGATGTATAATACAATGCAAGAAAGTAAACATGATGCAAATGTTACAAATGCATGCAAAAGAAAAGAACTCCCTCTCAACGCAATCCACAGGGGTGGATCACCCCTAACTCACTTTGCAAGAACTCACATCATGCTCAATAGAGAGGTTTTGTAAAAATATCAGCATGTCGTTTCTCGGATTTAACAAACTCTAGCACAATGTGTTGACGAAAAATCCACGCCCAGCTAATGGTGCCAAATCTGTGTTGATGCGAACTATGTCGACAAACACAATGCCGGGAGATCTGCTTAGCTGCCGGGAGATCTGCTTAGCTTCAGTGCAGGTCCAAAAATTTGGATTCGAATGCGGGCGTGCCAGTCAGTTTGATATTGCGACTGACAGGATAGATAAATTGATGATCACATAGTCGATCGACCAATAAGGCGATATGGCGATACCAGACGATGTTGATAGGATTTTGAACACATCGGCTATATGTCCGATATAGATTCTGACACTTAGATAAATAATGATATAAAGACAATCGACTGATGATAATATAATGAAATAAATATCCAATAAACCAATTAGCCAACAATGATATGATAGAATAAATATTAATCTGATGGTTAAAGCATACATCGGCTGGGAATCTGATGTCATTAGAATTTAAATCCAAAAGATTAGGCAATCAATAAAACCTTGCTGCAATTGGCTAAAACCAACTTGTATATAATCCTTATAAGCCGATGCAACATTTAAATAACTTATCGACTGAAACCCCAATGAAACATTGATTCATGTTTACTAACTTAAATAAATCTAACTTACAACCACAACCCTACAGGGCGAACACAACTGGATGTAGCATAAGGTTGATAATTACCTGATAGATTTAAGCAAGCCAATATGACACCAATCAAAGTGATCATGTATTAAATTTGACTAAGACAGTAAAATCATCAAAGAGAAATTTAACACATCAAATAAACCCCCCGATGAAACATTAGCACGAACCTATCGGCTTAACAAGACTTTGATTATTAATAACAATTGAGGTCGGACCTAACCGATGCAGCACGAGATTGCGTTTAATAATCTGATCTCAATGAGTCGATAAAACTTTCTAATGCGATGGATATAACAAATCTATTTAAAATAGCATTGTGATTGTAGAGATATGTCGGCTAAGACAAGATCAGACCTAACCAAGATAGTCCTAACTAAATTGATGCGTCTCTAAACACAATGCAATTAAAAATACAATTCAAATATCAGGTAGGTAAAATATACCAACCGAACCAGAGCAATCCAAGAGGTCAAAGCGATGGAGCCTTGAACAACACCAATATAACCAATACAACTACCAGGGCCGGCAGAACTTAGGGGTTACCCCTTCACCGAAGATCAAAGACATGCAGCCCCGCGTTAGGTGCCAAGTTCTGCAGGTAACAAAAACCTCGGAAAAGAGGGTGTTATGCGCCAATATTGATCCAGAGATAAATGGCAATGACCCCAAGTGTACATATTTATACCCTCGGGCTGATACGAGTCCTAATCGGACACGTTACAAGTTTCCTAAAGATAAAAAGAAAGATAGAAGTCTTGATCAGACACTAGACAAAACTTAAGGAAAATTACTAAAAACTACCTAATTATTAGATAGAATTAAACTGTTATGCCATGGTCTTCACGATTCCTTCCTAAACTCGATCTCTTCTAGATAAAATTACATCGGCTGCTTGACTTCTTTCCTTAACCAAATCCACTAAAGAATCTTACCAAATTTTGGTAAATTTTGGCGTTAACACAATGGTACATTTCTAAACATATTTTCGGAGAAAGTGGTACCGTATCTCAATGTGCTTGGTCCTTGAATGTTGAACCGGATTCTTAACAATGTTAATTGCACTGTTGTCACAAAAAAAACACTCAAAGACAAGCAACCATACACCTTCACTTGTGGTTTTGAATTTAAACTTCAAAAGCCCAAAAGGACATCTCTCATAAAGAGGTACACACCCATGGGCAAATGGGCCGGCAAAGTGACTCTAAGGGACTACTCCAAAGGGCTCCAAAGGGAGCCTACTCACCCTAACATCCACCTCTCTATTTATAGCCCAAGATGGATGAAATCCCCCTAAGATAATGTCAAAATTGCCCTTGGGGCAAAACCCATAGCTCAGATGAAATCTAGGCCATCCGTTGTTCCTTCTCCTCAAAGGAAATATCTCAGATGTCCAAACGAGCCGAAGCTTCTCATGCGCACGCACTCCAGGGTGAACCCGTGATTCGCGCGAACGCCTCCTCGGCCAATCACCGCACGCACTTGCTTGCATTTGCATCCTTATCTGTCACTTGGTCTTGATTTTTCAATCTCTTCAAATAACCAAGTTTGACTTGCAATATTATTTGCTTTGTGGAGCAAAATCAAATTTTCAAAATTTTGCTTGAAGTTGCCAATGTTTCCATCAAGGGGGAGATTGTGAAACAAATTGTGGTTTTGATTTATTGTGATGGAAAATTGGCGAGTGTCGGAAGTGCAAGAAATGTGTGCTGACTAACACGAGTAAGGTTGTGATATCTATGCCCGAACAACGGGCGTTTTGTTTACGTGTGTGTGCAGGTGATCGAAGTCAACCTTGGTCAATGGCGAGGACCGGGACTATGCTCAGGGAGGAACGGAGGTCCGACGCAGTCAAGAGGCCATGTGACAAGGTGGGACTGACGTCAGGATCCTTGGAGGTCTCTCTAGGTCAACGGCAGATCGGGACTAAACTCATGGAAGAGTTGAGGTCCAGAAGAGTAAAGGATGCCAGTTGACACGGTTGAGTACAAGGCGGTGCCCGATGAACGAACACCGTGTCAGTAGTACTTCGCAACGAGATTCACAAGGTCAAGTGTGCAAGTGTCTGAGATTCGCGAAGAGTAATGTACAATGCTAGACGATACATGCACTTGGACAGCGTATGTGTACTGTACTCATGCAAGCAAGTGATTGGGTTGCGCATATGTGCACGTGGCCCAATGCCATGCACTTGTGCATGAGTCTGATCGACTTGGCTTGGAGGAGGTCAAGCCAATTAGGCTCTTGCTTGTTGACCCAAGACGGAGGCGGTAAGGCGTCCGGCTAGCAGCCTTGTTGGCAGGGAGGCCGAACCATGCTGGTCCAGGTGATGGTCCAAGACGATAGTTGCAGATGAGGCCTGGCTAGATGCAAGACGCAGCGAGGGCATGGAGGCGAAAGCCGTACGGGACATGCGGTTGTCTCATACTCGCCGCACAAGCGCATAAGGTCGCATAGGTGGAGCGCGCCTCCCAGAGACGCGTGGTGAACGGGTATTCGGCGAGCGGCAAAGACGTGGATCAACGACGACCAAGTACGTGTGGTGATTGGCCAAGGAGCATACGCGCGGATAGCAGGCCCCACCGTAGATTGCTCGTGCCGGAGAAGCTTCAGCCTTCAGCTCATCTCACTGGTAGGTGGGCCTAGCTAGCAAGGTGCGCGGGAGGAGTGGTTCGATGCATATTTTATGTGGAAAATGGGATCTGGAGCGGGCAACAACATGGAGGACATCCGAGTTATTTCCTTTGAGAAGGAACAACGGATGGCCTAGATTTCATCTGAGCTAGGGTTTCACCCAGAGGGCAATTTGAACATTTTCGTAGTGGGATTTCCGTCATCTTCGACTATAAATAGAGGGGTGGATGTTAGGGAAAGTAGTGTCCCTTTAGAGCCCCTTGGAGTAGTCCCTTAAAATCTCTTTAGTGTCCCTTCTGCCCATGGATGTGTACTTCTTTATGAGAGATAGCCTTCAGGGCTTTTAAGAGTTTAAATTCAAAACAAGTGAAGGTGTATGATTGCTTGTCTCTTTAGTGTTTTCTTTTTAACACCTTTCGTATCAAAGATATTCTGGAGTTGGATTTAATTTCAGTTTTTGCGCTACGGTCTAAGGGAATTCTTCGCTAAAGATTTTTTATGGGTATTCAATGAAGAATTTCAATACACTATATACGACGACTTTGTCCAAAAATGCCATCGCCGTTATCGTCGTTAGGGTTCCGTCCATTCCGCGACATTAAGTGCTATAAGATGAACAATGTACTTAACTCCGCGACATTAAGTGCTATAGGATGAACAGTGTACTTAACAGTGCAAAATAGACAGAACCCTAACGGCGATGGCATTTTGGGACAAAATCGTTTGTACGATGGTATTTCTTGGAACTCACACTTGCTAATGGCATTTTTTGGATTTGGACGCTTGTCAATAGCATTTCTTGGATTATCTCAAAGATGATGGCGCCAAGACCTTGTCACACGTTGTAAGCAATCCACGTCACTAGATGGTCAGCTCCAGGAACCATCCACGTCACTAGATGGTCAGCTCCAGGAACCTTGGCATTGATGGAATAAGCCTTGTGCTCTTAGTAGCCTTGTTGGTTTTTGGTCTTTGTCGTTCTGTTTTGCTTTTAGCATCTTAGGACAGCATCCTTTCAGTTTTACTTTTAGCATCTTAGGACAACATCCTTTCGGTTTTGCTCTTTAGCATCTTAGGACAGCATCCCTTTTATGCTTTATGTTTTCCTTTCACCTTTAGACTAGCCCGCAGCTAGCAAGCTATGGCTATAAATATGTATCCAACCTCCCCCGGATAGTATGACTTGGTACTAGAGCCACTCTATCCTGTAGTCTAGACATCTCTTGCTCATCCCCTTCACGAGCTCCCCTCTGTCCTCAACCGGCAGCTGGAACATCGGCTATTCCTGCTCATCCCTCTTCCCCTGCACTGACGAGCAGCAGCTCGTCAGAGGCAAACTCTTCCCCCACACTGCAGGCCCCCAATAGCATGCCATGCCCGCAGGACAGTCTTAGCGCTCGGTCGCCTCGAGCGCGCGGCTCCGGCAGGAGGCCGAGCTCGCCGCGGCCGAGGAACGCCAGCAAGCGGCAGCAGAGACTGCTGCGATGGCAGCGAGGGCGTCAAGGCTGCCTGCGGCGGAATTGGTGGCGGCAAGGGTGGAAGTGGAAGCAGCGGCGGATGCAGCGCAAGCGGCGGCGGCAGAGCTCAAGGCTCTGCGCGACAATAGCTCCAGCAGCTCTGTCTCCGCCTACGACATCCCTGCTGATGAGCTGACGAGGGAGGCAGCTCGTGAGCGGGTGGAGCAACGGGCAGCCGCGCAACCCCACACGCGCCGTAGCAGCAGCCCAGCCGGGCGTGGATGCGTCGGCGGCGTTCCTGGCAGGAGCGCGCGCGGCAGCGGTAGCCCAGACGGGCTTGGACGCATTGGCGGACCCCTTGGCAGGGGTGCGCATGACGGCGGTGCTCCCGGCGGCAACGGCTTGGTCGACGGAGATCGCGGCCGTTGCAGGCGGCTCGTCTCTCCCTCCCCGGACCGGTACCGTGGACACCACGGGATTCAGGCCGTCATCAGGGAAGTCAGCCCCGGCGGTGGTTGGCCTGCCTTCACCAAGACCAACTACATCGAGTGAGCTGCGGTCATGAGGGTGAGGCTCCAGGTGCGGCACATGTGGGAGGCAGTTCGGTACGGCGACGTCGACTACGACGAGGATCGACGGGCACTGAAAGGATGATGTCCTAAGATGCTAAAAGCAAAACTGAAAGAATGTTGTCCTAGGATCGCTAGGATGCTGTCCTAAGATGCTAAAAGCAAAACTGAAAGGATGTTGTCCTAAGATGCTAAAAACAAAACAGAACAACAAAAGGCTTATTCCATCAGGCATTGGGCTTATATACTTCTTAAAATATTAACACACCATTAGAACAATTATACATGTGTGGTGTGGTGATGAGATGCCTGCTCTTGCCTCCTAGCAAGCTTAGTTCGAACATTGGGTGGGAATCTTTTTTGTTTTCCTTTTTTTAAGTGGCATGCACACCTTGAATGGACCAGCAAAAGAAGACTAGACAGGAAAAAACACCCATCATGAAGATTTGATCACATGATTTCCAGGAACGTAAGAGTTCATTTAACCACTTTAAGCACTCGTCAACTTATTATAGATGATAGCCCATTAAATTCTTAATCTCATATGAGCTCATCGCCAACAAAATATTTTAGATACAATTTTTGTGCATCAATATTGTGCCATGTTGTGTTACGCATTCCTGGTAATGCATATGTGAGCTCATATGACAGTTGATAATGAGCTATATTCTATAATAAGTTGATTAATATACCAATTGTTTAATGACATCACTAAAAAAATTGCACTGGCCAAGGATCGAACTCAACTAGGTGGCAAGTTTAGACATCTTACCACTACACCATTCATGTACCATTATGTGGATGGGTGTGTTAATATGTTAGAAACATATGAGCCCAGAACCAAAGTTATTGGCGCGGACCATCTAGTAATGTGGATTTTGTGCCACTTGTGCCATGGTATCAATGCTAGGATCTTTGGTGACAAGATATTGAGGATGTTTGAATCCCAAGCAAGGAAAAGCATAGCCTAGCCTAGCAAGGAGAGTTGCTTAGTATTAGCAAAAGAAAAAAAAAGTATTGCTTAGTAAGGCCAACTAACTACCGAGAAAAGCTCACCCAAGACAAAAAGCCAAATCGGTTAGCATCCGATGGCAATTTGTCGGGCTAAACATCCAAGCATTGTACTTTTGCTTTTTTATGCCATAGCTTTCATGGGCTAGCTTGAGCTTGCTAGGCCAAGCAAAGGTAATTGCACAATCTAAATAGACCATGAATATTGGTGCTAATGATCTTGGAGCCGAGATTCAGGTCCAATTATTTTATAAGTTTTGTCAAGGTCTATTTATAAAGTAAGTTTTCAAATGGACCAGATTATAAAAGATCTAGTCCATGGTCTGCTTCAAAATCGAGCTCAATGCTCTTTAGAAATCACAACACCACTTAAACAAAAGCATCAATGTTTATGCCTCAATCAAATAAACATCTATAGCATTAGCAGTATGCTAACAATTCCTAGGTACCAAATGAATTGTCAATGACCCGAGAACACTTAAAAAAACCATCTTCAGGTTTAGCAACTTACAACTAATAAAATTCTATCACTTGTAAACATCAATCCAAAACAAATCTATTGAATGAGGCAATTTCAAGCAAATATTGGAAGCGCTATCCTAGGTCACAAAAGGGAATGGAGACAATGAATGCTTTAAAATCTTCTAGGCACAGGACTAACATAAACAGGCAGATACGAAAAGCGAAATGTTTCATCCGAGAAAGAGTAACGGGGCCTTTACTTGATGCCAAGATCAATGTGCTCCTGGATACCGAAGCCGAAGCATCCGGTGTCACTGAAGTTCCTCCTGAGCAGCTCGTACTCCTTGACCTTGAGCCCGCTCTCCAGCAGCTGCATCGCCTTCTCCCCTCTCACCGTCACGTAGCACGCGATCTTCTCGTTACGCCTGATTCCGAACGACCGCACGGTGTACCTCGCTGCAAAGAAAGCGCCCCCCGCAAACTCTCGTCATCACCACAACGAAGCTAAGAGTAAACTAGAGTAGAGAGACGGCAATGGCGGAGAGCTTAACCTACCCTTGGAGAACACCGGGGTCTGCCCGCTGAGCTGCTCCAGCACCTGCAAGAAACCGGAGAGAGAGGGGGGTTGAAATGGAGGTTGGCGAGAGGAGGGTTGGGAGAATTTTGGGGGGAGGGGGGTTGGTGACCTTGGAGGCGCGGGTTAGGCGGTCGCCGCTCTCGCCGACGGAGATGTTGAGGACGAGCTTCTGCACCTTGATCTCCCGCATCGGGTTCGACTGCTTCTTCTCCGACGCCTGCACCACAACTCACCACACGCACGCGGAAGAGGGGTGTTAGGTTGAGGAGATGAACAGCGATGAGTCGGGAAGGAGGGAGGGAGGAGGCGACCATGGCGGAGATGGCCGGGAGTTCGTCGGCGGCGAGGAGGGAGGAGGGAAGGTGGCGTGGCGGCGCTGGGATAAAAGAGAGAGCGCAACCCTAGGCGGTGGCTGCGACCAAGAGGTTTCTGGATGGGCCCAATTGTGGTAAGTGGCCTTTTGAACGACAGCGAAAAGAATGGCCCAATGCTTCGATGCAACCACAAAATGGGCCAAAAGCCCAAATTCTACCACGTACAAATGTGCCCGCTTGATGAGTTTTGGATTATTTTTGGGATTTTAAATGTTCTAATGGTAAGAACATTTTATTCGGTATTTTTGAGTAAATTTCAAAAAACTACATATACTTTGACAAACTATTATAAAACTATAGATTTAAAAAGGTGTATCACAAAACTACAGATTTAGGACCGAATTCATCAAAGAACTACATATTTAAGGTGGAAGATCACCAAACTATAAATTTAGTAATAAAATTATCACAACAGTTCATGTTTTGCATCATGTTAAGTACAAAACTACACATTTATCACTCTAACATAGCAGTAGTGGTAGGAATTTAAGCTGTAAAATATGTAGTTTTGTGATACTCTAGTATTAAATCTATAGTTTTGTGATAAATTTTGTGTTAAATATGTAGTTTTATAATACGACGCCTTAAATCTGTACTTTTATAATACTTCGATCAAAGTACTGTAGTTTTATAAAATTTACTCGTAATTTTATTTGTATGAGCAATCATAAAAAGAGATATGACCAACAAAGAATAATCTCAAAATCAAAATCAAATTATATTATTATAGATTTTGATTGCAATCCAAATATTTGAGGGACCTAAGAGTTGTATCTCAAAATACAACTCAACTTTTTGAAATCTTGCTCTACGAAAAAATTACACGAAAATATCCGCTAGTTGTAATTATTGTAGCTCGAGTACATTTCAATCATATTAGCTTAACTAGTCGCAAGATAAATTTTAGATTTTCTCGCATTGCCGCCGCTAGTTATAACGGCATTTCATTCTAGAAACCAGACTAGAAAATCATTACAATGGAGAAAAACCTTAGATGTGGTGCATGACTTCACTCACAAGGTCTAAATTCTGATGTTCATAATTATGCATGTGTGGATACTTAACTGAGATTGTGGATGTATCAACAGGCTTTCATCTCTCCAGTTGTATGTTAAAAGGATGTACTCGTAGGTATGTGCATGTGCAGTGATGCATGTACGTGCATATATATTCCATATAATTGAGATCACCTCGATGCTTTCATGTGCATATGCATACTTTTGGACAGGGGCAGACCCAGGCCACGGGTCAATGCCTAGGATTTGGATTGAAATCTCACTACGTAGTACAAAATTCCATCATGTAAGTTCAATCTTAACCCAAAGTGCAATGGGCTAGCCTAGGCCTTGACCAAGGCTGGGTCAGCCCCTGCCTTTAAATCATAATGTAGAGCCTAAATATTCTTTCTCTTACACGGTTCCCACATAGAAAAAAAAAACATGAGCAAGTAGGAGTGAATCGCTGGGCAAATCTCCTTTGGCAGATAGGGATGGGATCAAATGGAAGCATCAGCCATATCCATATCCAATCCATCCCTCTGCCAATGGAGTAGTTGCCCTGCAATGCACATCCACAGGCTCGATCTCAACCATTTTCCTCATCAGAATGCCTCAGATAGTAGTAGCAAGTAGTATTACATATTGTACATATTGTGATTGCTCGAGATCGTGTTGGTGTGATGATGAGCGAAGGGGCGACGGCGGTGGCAGCATTTATTTGCTGCCGGAAACGGCATATCCGGCAGCACAATGCTTTGCTGCTTCTCCAGCTGAATTCGAGAGCCCTTTCCCCTTTCGTCGTATTGATATTTGACGGCCGATGCGGCGATGCCATATTGCCATGGAAGAAAAAAAAGGGAAAAGAAAAGAGAGGGTGAAATGCCAAGAATCCGAGTTAGCTTTATTCCGATTTTGGAGATAGATCTCGCGTCTTTCCTGGACAGCCTACGTGGACCCTGTGTTACGCGACGAGAGGCCGCTGCTGCATGCGATGCCCAGCGTTTGTTCTCTTCTTGTCTGATTTTTTCTTTGTAAAAATATTTTGCAGTCCAGACAGCACATAGATAGAGAGAGAAAGGTAGGCTGCCATTTGTGCTGTGAACAGTTTTGCAGAATGCGATGCCATTGTTCTTTCGCACCAAAGAGGAATTGCCACTTGCGATCTCAGGATGCGATGCTGCCTATATATCTGTCGAAACATGAATTCGGCAATAATAAAACGGGGTAGCGCACGAGACCTAAAAGTGGATGGATGTGGAGACAAAGGATTTAGACAGGTTCAGGCCCTCTCAATGAGAGGTAATACCCTACTCCTGTTTGGGGATTTGAATCCGCCGAGTATGTATTGATCTGACGATCAGGTTGTCTCATCATGCCCCTAGAGGGGCTCCCTGCCCTCCTTATATAGGTTGGGGGGCAGGGTTACAAGATAGAAACCTTAACCAATACGGTATCGGTTTCCTAAATCTACTTTACAATCTTATCAAACCAGGACTTTAGGCCGTTCCATAATATACAGGGAAACGTAATACCCAAGTCATGATCTGTTACATATTCCATAGATATAAGTTATCCCCTATAGCCAGTCGGATAACTATGCCATGTAGGTATGGGGTACCCATAATCTCCACAGTAGCCCCTGAGACCTTCACAGTCGAAAAGATAATCTTCTCTCGAACTAGATTACTCCAAAGCTGAGTGCTTCAATCATCTTCGCCATGGTCTCCGAAGTACTTTTACCAAATACGAAGACTGTGGAGGGCTGAAAAATAAAGTCAGGTGTATCGACTAGATGCACCTAATAGGTGTAGCCCCCGACTATGTGGTTAATTGAACAAACCAAGCATATAGTCAAGGAATAAATAATCCAACCAACCGAGTGGTTTTAATAATTATAGTCAACCAAGCGACCTGATATTAATATGTAGCATATGCGGTGTGAATCCCTGAATAACATGATCCGAGTGATATACCGACTGCTTTGTAAAATATGATGAGTGTAACCTAAAGTTGGTTACATCATTGAAAATTCACATAGCAAAACAGCTATAAAGAAGCTTATATATTGTGAATAAAGAAATTTCCAAAGTATTGGGCATACGCCATGCGCACACTGCTTTAACAGATGTGCTTAAGTCCCTAAAAGACACATGGTTTCACCACACCCGGAAATATATGACATATGTGGTATAAAATCCAAGTAAATAAACTCATAAAGGATTTACCAACCGCCTGAAAAATGACCACAATATATAATCAGCCTAAGCCATAATATTGGTCAATAAAAATGCACACTTACGTGGCGAAAAGCAATGATATTGTATCTAATCAATTGCTTAAAAACCCAAACAACACCTTGACTTATATATAAAAAAGTCAGCGGGCCAGCTATATAAAGCTTTACTGTTTGACACCTTTTAAGATGCATTGTACCAACTCCTAAAAAGTTGAGTAACTGCGGTATAAAAGGATTTTAAGGTATTGGGCACTTGATCACGCGCACTTTGGCCTAAGCAAAAAGTGCCTAAGTCCCTAAAAGAACGTGACAGGCCACACCTGAAAATATGGGCTGCAGACATATTAGGCCTAGGCCAAAAAATATGCCTTCGACACCCTTTAAAGGATGACGCATGTAACATGCTCCCAAGTAATAAATCTTCCGGGTAATATAGACCAAGTGTAGCTCATATGAATAGCTTCTGATCTGAATGATTATCCCTTATGGGATACTCCAAAATAAATATAATAATTGAATCCCGACTGGCGCAAGTATTCGGTTGATAGCCCTTACGGGGAATAATAATTGGTCCAGTCTTTGAGCATAGAAAATAGACTCATGACTATGAATCCATGTGGAATGTATCCGGAACAAGTCCAAATTGGAGATATAATCCTCACGCTTGAGTTGATGAGCCCCTGAGCATATAGCTTGTCCTTCTGTCATAGTCAAAATTGTCTATTGGCAATAACTGACGCAGTCGGCATGGAGATGAAATGACCAACATGAAGACGAAATTGCTCATCAGAAGTAACGGAAGATGTCAGTGGTAGTAAAGATGCCACCAATCAAATGTAATGAAGTTGCATAACCATGGAGGTGAAGAAACCAGTCGGCAACAGTCAGGTCAGCTAGCAGTGAAGATGTAGGCGCCCAACAACAACGAAAGAACAGTCGGTGGTGACAAAAGCAAACCGACGATGAAGACGTAGACGCGCATCAACGGTGATGGCGAAATCCACCAATCATGAAGATGAAGAAAATAATCGGCGGCGACAAACGCATCCGACGGTAATGATGATTGGCGGCAACAGAGATAGCCGACTATGATGACGAAGTTTCCCATCAACGGCAGCAGAGTTGGCTATGTTGATGAGGCTTGACAAGATGTTGATGAAGATGACGATGTCGGTGATCCAGTCAATAGCGATGTAGCAGCCGATGATAACGATGAGATCCTCTATCGGCAGTTGCGTAGTAGGCCAACCGTGAAGACAAATAATTGGAGGAGAGTTGATGTTGTTGCCCAACTCGTCTAAACCGAAATATTTGAAGTTGTTGAAGTAGAATGTCTGTTCCGAAGCAAAGATGAAGATAATGACTCCTGGAGTTGACTCATTGGCTGATTAATTGATTTCTTCAGCTTGACATAAAATTTGTCAAATTTTGAGCCTTATATTTGTGTAGCCCCCGACTCTTTGGTTAGTTGAGAAACAACTGAACATAGAGTCGAGAATTATAGCTTCTTGTCGTCGAGTAGTCATTGCTTGATTGAAGATATGTGTTGAAGGTGTCCAAGTAGAAATCCTGAATATTGGAGAGTCACTTGTTGTAGTAAAATATCATGGCATTGCATGCCGAGATGTCGAGGTTCACAAAGACGTCGTGGTTGGTGAAGTAGTAAAACTTGCGAAGTAGCAGCAATAGAGTTTGCCGGTGCCGAAGATAATAAAGATGAAGTCGCTCCACCATGATGACAAAGTTGTATTGCCGTAATGAAGTGAACACAAGTCGGCGGCAACAGAAGCAAACCGGTAGTGAAGACGCGTAGTTGTGAAGATAAAAGCACCAATCGGCGGCAGCATA